TCAAAATCAACTTATCTCAAGAATACTCAAATCTAGGGAAAGTATCCTAGATTACTCTTTTACTGATCTGAAGTAGATGTAGGGCGTGAGGACGAACTAGTCCAACACTATGATAGCCTTACATACCTAGAAGAATAGGATTCTTGAAGAATCTTGAAGAATCTTTAAGAATCTTGAAGAAGAACTTGATTAGAAGTCTTGAAACCCTAGCTAGCTTGAAGGTAAACAATCAAGAAAACATTTCTTCAGATTCTTGAATTAGTTTCTTGAAATCTCTATGGCCAATAATTATGATTTTCATTAGTGAAGTTGAAAATCTGATTTCTTTGAGTCTTTTATTAGTCAAGAAATTTTGTTACATCTTGCAAGTTGGTAACTAGGAAGAAGCTTAAAATTTGGAAATAGTCATTTTTGGAAGGAATTAAAAATCTGGGAAATTTGGTTAAGTATGGGAAAAAGTGAGTTTTTGGCCAACTTTGAACAGTTATAACTCCTAGCTCAAGATGATTTAGGTGTAGTTCCAGTTATTTTTGCAAATTTCGTGGAATAATCTTTCCAACGCCACCAAGTTTGCTCGATTCCGAGTTCGTATGAGTGAGTTATCCCCTTTGGAAGTTGGGCTGTTGGCAGGGCAGTTTACCCGAAATTTTGTAAGGGTATTTTGGTCTTTTCCCTAGCCTTTTCTTTTGGATATATATTAGTGTGTTAGACTGATTTTGATCAGTTTTTCTCATTTTAAAGAGTGAGAGTAAGGGTTTGTGAGTGAAGAGGAGAAGAAGAGGAGAAAGAGAAGATCAAGCAAGTTTTCGTCAAAGATCGTCGTGGATATCATCGGGGGTGATCCCTTCTAGGTATGTGAGTTCATAGTGTTGGGTTGATTCTTTCCCCCACATGTCAAACTCGCTTTAAATTCCGAGAAAAGATTTAGTTGTGGTTGTTGAAATCTTGTGGGGATGTTTGTTGAAGTTGTAGTTGTGTTGTGTTGAAGTTCTTGTTGGTTTGGTGTATGTTTCCGGTGGTGTTTTGAGTTGAATCTATTGTATGTTGAGGGTTTTAATGATTCTAAGTGTTTGGGGCTGAAACCTTTGAGGTTTAGAAGGTTTAGAGTTGGAAAAAGGAAGGAGAAAAGTCAAGTTTTCGGGGAAAAGGGTTGGGGCGTCGCGCCAGCCAGCGCGCCCCAAAAGGGGCTCTGAACTTTTCCCCTTGGGGTGGCGCGCCTAGCAGAGCACCAGCAGGCCCCTTCTGAAGCTTTTGGTCTGGCGCTCCGCGCCTCTCAGAGCGCCAAGTTTTCCCATTCTTTCCCCACTTTTTCATACATGTTCCTTGGTAATGTACCTATGTTTTATAGTTGTTTTCAACACTCTAAGGTACATTTAAACCTCCCGAACTCATCCATAAACATGAGATTATTACCCTTGAATTCATAATCCAATTCGAGGAAAGTTCGGATCAAAGTCAAGTGAAGTTAGAGTCAAGTCTAGAAGTTAAGAAGTAAGTCAAAGCAAGTCTTTAAAGTTGTTCAAGAGTCTTTATTGAACGTTTTAACTTCATTTTAAGGCTCAAGTTTCAAGTCAAGTAAAGAGTTTCGAGTTCCAAGTTAAGTCAAGAGTTTAAGGTTGAGTTCTTTTCTCAAAAGTTATTAGGAAACTATGTATTCTCGAAGAAGTTTTAAAGAAATGTTTTCACATTTAAACAAGATTGGAAACTGAGATTTCCAAAGAGCCTTCGGGCTAGTTTTTCAGAAAAAAGTTATCGCTTAATAAATGAAGCAAGAGAGGAAACTGAGATTTCCAAGATAGCCTTTGAGCTAAGTTTTGAATAATTATCTCAAATCAGCAGGAAGAAGTATGTTTTTATTAAACATAAGAGCCAGTATATTTTGGGAGTAGTATCGAGCACCGAGTTGAGGGAGCATTCAAGGAACCCACTGCCCCCATAGAACCATGTTAGCATCGGCGGAGTTGGAAAGATAATTCAAAGATCTTCCCTACGGTATATGGTAGTACACCTAACTCATCCTGAGCTATGAGTTATGGTCGTTTGAAGTCGACCCAAAACTCATACGTAGCTTAACTTGCAAAATTTCAGATTTTGCTATTTCCAATTTAGTTCTTTTTCGAACTAAAGGTGCTACATCTAGTGAACTTAACACTTAAGAAATTTTAATTCCTCGGTAAAATCCTACTCACAACGAAGGATGGTTCAAGTCTTAGCTCAAAAATTTTCTGAGGTGTTACAACAAAGAAAGAAAAAAAAAAGATTTTCGTTATATACATGCTATTTTTATGATTTTTTAAATTTACAAGATCAATCTAACTCGTGTATTTCTTATAAATTCAACTATATCAGATGATTTTGTGTATATCCAGATTTCCCTCTAGCCTATATTGCTTAGTTTTCCAGCTCGCATACTCGTACATTCAATGTACTGATGCCAGTTGGCCTGCATCTTCTAACGATGCAGACATAAGTACCCAGGATCAGCATCCAGCACGCATTGATCCAGCTGAGCACTCCAGAGTCAGTGGTGAGCCTCTTTGCATTCCGGAGGACTCGGTTATT